AAACAGTTGTTTCATGAGGCCACGCGTAACGTCTAGGGAAATGTAATTGTTTAATCACCTTTGAACTGATTCCTCGTGGATGTTTATCATCTTTCTTAAATAAAATTGTTTTGATTAAAGAAACACATTGTCCGCGAATCAATGATTGCATAATTTCATATCTAGCATCTGTCATCCTCCATACATTTGGATGCGTCTTTATGAATCTTTTTAATATATTTTTGGTTTGACGTACTAAATCATGAAACAACTGTTTTTTCTTGAATGTGACTGGTTCATTTCGTTGTTTATTAAGATACTCAATAGCGCTACAAGCGCTTCTCAATGCAGAACAATTTTGTGGCCAATGAATTTCGACTCGTTCTTTATCTTTAGTATCAGGAAGTAATAATTCGACAAAAAATTCTCCATTACCAATTAGTAATCTTTGAATTTCAAATCTATCATCTCGAAGATTAGCCCAAATATATACAAGTCTTCGTTTAAATTTAGATTTTTCATTTTTTCGCCATACTTGAATTGTGGTTAATCCCATAATTACTTGTAATGTCTTGTCATCATTAAGATATGCTGAAATACGAGGATGTTGTTTGTAGCGATGCCAAGGTTCCCCATTACTAATTACAATAACTTTCTTTTCTTGTTTGGCATCAAGGAATTTGCCATCTAATGTGTAAATATAATGATAAATTTGTATAGATGGTGATGGAGCATCTAGAGTAATACCCAATTTAACTAATTTCGACAACAAAATTGGAGGTTTCAAAAAATTTGCTAGATTTGGATGATCAACAATAGAAAAAACTTCTCCAGTGTATTCATTCACTCCAACAATAGTTCCACTGGCACTGGAATATCTATGATAATGATCTCTAATTTTCATCGAAGCATTATATTTACACCCAGAAATAATATCTTGTGTATCTTTAATAGTCTTAACTGCATCTTCTGATGAACTAAAAAGATCCCAAATTTTAATAACGGCGACCAATTCTGTAGAACCATCACCTTTGTCTCTTTCTTCTTCACCAATTAAAAATAATTTTTCATCATCATGAACAAAATCTATCGAATTTATTCTATAAAGATCCTTAAATAGTTTTGTTGCTATTTCCAAGGTATTTTCCACTAAATATATTGAAACACTATTATTTCCTCTGCAATATGCTAGCAAAACATCATTTTTTGACATTTCAAAAATCGCATTCCCATTTGCTGCTAGTTGTTCGTTTGATTCCTCAC